CACCATTTGCTGAAGAGGTTTTCCTTTTCCCACTGGATTGACTGGTACCCCTTGTCAAAAATCAGTTGACTGAATGATTGGAAATGTATTCCTGTGGACTCAATTCTGTTCCATTGGTCCACCTGTCTGTTCCTGTGCCAATACCATGCTGTTTTGATTACCACAGCTTTGTAGTATATTTTTGGGTCAGGAAGTGAGATGCCACCCACTCCATTTTTCCTGTGTAGAATTACTTCAGCAATATGGGGTCTTTTAGTATTCCAGATGAATTTTATGATTGTCTTTTCTAGATCTGTGAAGAATGTGTCTGGTACTTTGATTGGCATTGCATTAAATAGGTAGATTAATTTGGGTAGAATTGCCATTTTGGTTATATTAATTCTTCCAATCCAGGAACATGGGATGTCCTTCCACTTTTTTGTGTCATTTTCAATTTCTTTTTTTAGCTTCTCATAGTTTTCCTTGTGGAGGTCTTTAACTTCTTTGGTTAGATTTATCCCTAAGTATCTTATATTTTTTGTGGCTATGGTAAATGGAATAACTTTCTTTAATTCTATCTCCATCTGCCTGTTGTTTGTATATAGAAATGCTATAGACTTCTGTATATTAATTTTGTATCCTGCAACTTTACTGTATTCTTGCATTACTTCCAGCAATTTCTTCATGGAAATCATTGGGTCTTCTATGTACACAATCATGTCATCTGTGAATAGAGAGAGTTTCACCTCTTCTTTTCCTATTTGGATGCTTAATTTTTGTTTCATTGACCTGTCTAAAGGAGACAATGGGGTGTTGAGATCTCCAACAGTTATTGTGTTACAACCTATGTCTCCTTTTAGATGTAGCAACCTTTCCTTTACATATTTGGGTGTTCCTGAGTTGGATGCATAAATATTTATAAGATTTACATCTTATTAGTGAATTAGTCCCTTTACTACTATGTAATGCCTTTCTTTGTCTCTTCTCATGTTTTTTGCCTTAAAGCCTATCTTGTCCAAAATCAGCATAGTGACTCCCACTCTTTTTTGAGAGGTTTTCACTATAGGGCGTGTGCACTCACCAGACAGACAGAGACAGACAGAAAGCAAGAAATCACCCCCCAGGGGGGATGGTCACACCGCAATCCCTTCTCCTCCATTCTCCTCTCGGGATCTTAGGCACGCACACCCGGCGTGAATTTTAAGCCACCGGGTCTGGGACGCGAACCTTGGTCGACTACGTGGGAGTCCAGCGACAGAGCCATTAAGCTAACTGCTGGTCCCCCACTCCCACTCTTTTTTTGGTTTCCATTTGCATGGAATACCTTTTCCAGCCCTCCACTTTTAATCTATGTATGTCTTTATCCATGAGATGGGTTTCTTATAGGCAGCAGATGGAGGGTTTCTGATTTTTAATCCATTCAGCCAGTCTGTGTCTCTTGATCAGATAATTTAATCCATTAACATTCAATGTTATTATCGATATTTCCAGACTTGCCCCTACCATTAAATTGGCCATATACTCAGTTGTTTTTTGTTCCCTTATTGCTGTCTGTCTATATTTAGTTTTCTTGGTATAGTACTCCTTTCAGAATTTCTTGGAGAGCTGGTCTAGAGTTGGTAAATTCTTTCAGGTGTTGTTTATCCAAGAACATTTTTATCTTCTTTTCCCAAATGAAGGATAGTCGTGCCAGGTACAGTCTTTTTTGGCTGAGATTGTTTTTCATTTAACACTTTGAATATATTTCCCCATTCTTTCCTTACTTGTGTTGTATCCAATGACAGGTCTGGTGTTAGCCTGACAAGATGGTCTTTGTAAGTGATTTGACATTTCTCTCTTGCCAATCTTAGTATCTTGTCTTTGTCTGTGGTCTTGGCCAATCTATCTATGTGCCATGGAGAAGATCTTCCTGGATTGATTCTACTTGGGTTTCTTTGTATCTCTTTGGTCTGGATGTTTCAGAGCCTCTCTAGACTTGAAAAGTTTTCTTCCAGAATTTCATGTTTTTTTCTTATTGGTTTTTTCACCTTCTGGAATACCAATTATTTGGATGTTTGGGCGTTTCATGTTATCCAGTATTTCTGTTTTCTTGGCTGTTTTCTCAGGATTTTTTCCCCTCCTAGGTCAGAAGTTTTGTTTTCTACTCCCGAGATTTGATCTTCTGCATGGTCTAACCTGCTTTTAATAATTTTGAGGGAGGTTTTAATTTCCTGTATGACAGCCTTCATTTCTAACAGTTTCATTTGTTTCCTTTTATGGTATCCAATTCTTCTTTCATATTGTGGAAGAACTTCCTCATCTCTTGGAGATCAACATCTCTTTTCTCTTGCATCTCATTGAATTTTGTTACCATAAATATTCTAAATTCTTTTTCTGACATTTTAGTAGTATCTTCTAAATTTTCTCTACTTGGAGACAAGTTACAGTGTTCCCTTTCTGAAGGTGTGTTCTTTGATTTTCTCTTCCTTAAGGCTCTTCTCCAATTCTTAGTTATTTGGTAATATTATTTACTTTTGGCTAAATTTGTTGGAGAAGGATTCTGTGACTGTGAGCTCATGTATTTCCCTTACTGTGAAATAGTTTGTTACTATTTTCACCTTTCTACTGTATTCTCCAGTGTGGGACTCACAGGATAGGTTTTCCAGACAGATTTATGAAAGGGAATTTCACTCATTCTTGCAACAACTACAATGAGGTGCAAAGAATTCTCTAAAATTCACAATGTTCAGATCTTTAGCTACTATGCCCCTAGTCTTCTCTAGAAAGTGGGTAAGGGCTGATCAGTAAAACAGGGAAATAAAGAAAAAGAAAAAAGAATGCAGGAAATAGAAATAGAAAAAGCAGAGAAAAAGGAAGGAAAGAACTACAACAAAAAGACATAAAGAAAAACAGAAATCACATGGTAGATAATGAAATTGTGTTAAAATTAGAAAACCCCGCAGTGCACAAGCACCCTGCGTGAAGGGCCAACACAGTCAGAGGTGGACTGGCCTGGATGCTTTCTGTCCTAGTTGAGGGGAGAGGAGACAAATTAACAAGAGAAAAGAACTAATGGAGCAGAAAAGCAGTTTTGTTTTATTTTGTTTTGTTTTTAGAAAGAAAAAAGAAGGGACAGAGAAGAGCCAGAGGGACAGTGAAATTTGCCTAACTGGCTAGCACCGGGATCTGAAAGGGAGATCTCTGGCTAGGGAGAAAGGGGGCTCACAGCCCTGAAGCTGCACTCAGAGGGCCAACACAGTCAGAGGTGGACTGGCTTGGATGCTTTCTGTTCTGGCTAGTACTGGGGGTCTGGTATGCTTGCCAGAGAGACAGAGATAGAAAATGAGAAATCACTCCCAGGGGGATAGCCATGCCATAATCCTTTCTCCTCCAGTTTCTCGAGATTTGGGGCACACATGCACATGTGTTCAGCATGAGTTCGCATGATAGCCCAGTGACATAACCATTATGCCATCAGCCGGTCACCAGGCCTACCTTTTCTGACTTGCAGTATTTTCAGGGCACATATCTCAGCCCTGAAAAGCTTATTTTGACAAGGTGTAGCAAGGTCAGTACATAATGGACCAGTATAGACAAAAATCACTTCAAGCAGGTGATGGAAAAAGGGTGGTCACCTGCCATTTAACTGCATGGTCAGGAAAAAGGCTTCATGACGGTTACCAGCCACCTGTGATCTTCTAGTTGTGACCACAAGGGGAAGATGGGCCTCCAGCTTTTCCCACCTGAGTTGCTCCTGAGGAATCTGCATTCCCATCCTTTAGAGTCTTACATCTTCTCATGGGGAATTTGTCTTCGGTGTACTTTAGTGATTTTATCCACATTAGTCATGGTACTCTCGTTAGAGGCTACAGTTTGAAGAGAAGATAAAGTTCTCAATTGGTTTTGGGATCCCTGGGGTCCCAATACCTCAAGCTGCCTGAGGATTCTGGGCTGTTGGCACTGCTGGATACTCCTGAGGTTGGACAGGCTGCAGGAAGGGCCTGCTTGTTCAGTGATCCTCTCAATACTCCTTTCTTCTGGCTAGTCTGCCTCAAGAACATCTGAATCTGCGGTTTTGTCTGCATGGAGTATTATAAAATGAGTGTTGGTCATCACTTTGAAGATTAAACAATATTAATATTTGCTACTAACAGGAAATGCGTCTAGGCTCATTTGATGGAATTGGGGAGGGATATAAGTATCACTGAATCCTCCTTATAACTCAGTAGAGTGCCCACATCCAGTCCCTGCTTCTGGCAGGGAAGGGAAAACTATTTCATAGGACTTGAGCCAGATCTGTACCAGCTTGGATTCGAACCATCTCTTACAGATGTATGGCATGACCTGGAACTGACAGGTCTCTCACCACCAGCCTCACCTTTTTTTTTTTTTTTTTTCTCCTCACCCAGCTAGGGTGAGAGTTGGGGAATTAAAGGATACAGAAAAATGGTCAAGGTTGGGTTAAACAGCTGTGGTGTGATCAGGAATGCAACCCTCCCGATACATGAAATGTAGTTACTGCCTCTCTTATGGGAAGGGTCCGGACCAGATGGCCACTTATCTGAAGCCAACAAGCCTCACAGGACAGCAGTTATCCACCTCTTTCTGCTGTTCTTCACATGTTACTTTTTAAATGAAAATGAAAAGTCTAACACCAACATTAATTCAATGAGTCAGGTTTTATTATGTACCTGTGAGTTTGAGGGAATGATGCCAAGAGATCAGAGGAATACAGGGAGGTGGTCTTAGCCCATGGGAGGTGGACACAAAGATTGCCTCATGAGGGAGAGAGCATGGCTGAGAACTGAGCGAGACAGATGCTTTGGGCTGAGAGCAAAAATATCAGTGACTAAAAGGGAGACAGATAAATTTGGTCCAGCTCTACTCAACCCTGACCTGCACTGAGGTGGAGTGGAATTTCCAATGAGCAGGTAGCCCACATCTGCATGGAATTGACCTTGGGTTTAAGCCACCTCACCCAGGAAGGCTTCCAAATTCAGAAGTGTGTCACCTTCCTGTTACTGAGTCAGTTTGGATCACTGATGGGAGTTCCTGGACAGCACTTGGTGGGACAAGGATACACAATGTCCTGGTGGATTCCAGCTCCAGTACATTTCACTCTGCCACTTTAATATGATCTGACTTTACATATAACACACAATGGTAAGTGGAGCGCTGTTTCTCTTTTAGACAAATGTGTGAAGCAAGAGCGTAACCTCCCTAAGACCATGGACCTGCTGATAAAATCCTCAGGCCAGCCAAGAACTCACAGGTGGGTTAGATAAATGTATGCACAGAGGGTTGAGCTCCCATTAAGAGCATCCCTTCCCCAACTAGAAAGATCCAATTTATCCTTCTCCAAGCTGGTGAATACAAGATGCAAACTATTTAGAAACTAAAAGCCCCAATAGTTTATTTCTGATCATGGTATGACCAAGTGGTTTTATTGTACTTACTGCTCCTGGGTATGTAGACACATCTACTCTACACAGAAACAGACATTAAGGCAAAAGCCTTATAACTCTCTTGTTGGGTTTGAGCAAAGGTTTCTTGAGGTGGAAATTATATGAGTGACAAGGAACGCTAGACATCTTGCCTTCATTTACCCACTTACCTTTCTCTCAACACTCTCTGCCTATGGGCAGATCTGACATGGACAACACAAAATATCTTCCTGGTTGTGGCTTTCAGATTCAGCCCTAGTTACACTACAGCCATGAGACCCTCTCATCACTGAGCCTACATGACATAATCAGTTTTTACGAACAATAAATCCTCATTTTTGATTCCTTGAGGTTTCACTAACACTGGTAACTAATAGCCCAGAGCTCCCAAATTCCAGCTTTCTAAGATTCTCCCATGCAGGGGACATCAGCCCTAAAAGCAGGCATGTGAGTCTGAACCTGCCTTCCATGGACAGTGCTCAGGTAGCTGAGTTTTGTATTGATTCATCTGTGACTAACAAATGTCAGCACCATGGAATGGTCTGTAGTGGATGAATTATTCCTCTCCGCCAAATTCTCAAGTTGAAGTCCTCCCTAGTACCTCAGAATGCAACCTAATTTGGAAACAGTCACTGCAATGTAAAGAGGTTATACTGGAGTAGGCTGAGTGGGCCCTAACCAGTGTGATTGGTGTCCTTATAAAAAAGGGGAATTTAGAGATGGAGTCACATGGAGAGCTCCATGTGAGGAAGGCAGAGCCAGGGTAAGACTCCTTCTAGACAAGGAACAGCAACAACTGCCGCAAACCGCCAAAAGCATGAGGGGACTCCCTCAGCCCACAGAAGGCTCCAGCTCTGTCAACACCTTGATCTGCAACCCCCGGAATTCTGAGAGCACATACTTGTGTTGCCCCAAGCCAGCCATTGCTACATTATACATACATATCTATAGCAGGCTAAAGTGTTACATGTCATGGAAGGCTCTGTCCAAGGCATGGCCTGCCATAACAGAAAGCCCTCACAGGGGGCTGAGTTCTACCTTCCTGACAGGATATAAGGGAGCAGGAATTTAAGCACCTTTAAATGATGACAATTCAGCTCCCATCCCACAAGCATTTACTAAGGACCTCTGGAGTACAAAGTACTTTTGGAAAGTGGGTGCACCATAATTTAAAATTTAAGTCCTGCCCTCAGTGAGCTCCTGACCCCTAATAACCACCCTGACAGTTTCCCAGCCTTGAATTCTAGAGCTCCTCACCACCAACTCCAGGCCCAGGTGGACCACCTGATCATCTTGGGGTCTGTGGGGTGCTGCTGTGGGCCTGATAGCCACTGACCTCAGGGCAGATGTCTGAGGAAAGCACAGCTGAATGTGCTGGCCTGCTCCCCTTGGGCGGTCCCACTGCCTTACTGCCTTCTTCCCAGCTGCCACAGACAGGAAGGGCAGCCGCCTTGGGCCTCAGGATCCATGTGTTCAGACAGGAGACTGAGGGGTGCACTGAAAGTTGGTTAGTGACAAAGGGGTCAATGCCCAGAGGCAGCCCAGTCCCTCCTTGTGCCTGGGAGTATGAGGCAGGGATCTCCACTACACAGACACCCTGGTTGTGGAAGCTGGTAAGGACATGCCCTCCTTATTTTTGGCATAGCAGAAACAGCAAAACTCAAATGGCCATGATCTCCTTGGGGTGGGGAGCTACCTCCATGGCACCTCAGGAAGTCAGGTAGGAGAAGGTGTGTGCTCCATTCTGGAAGTGCCGGTGGGGACCTGATCAGCACCAGTGCGAGCTGGGAGCCCAGCTCAGGTGGGCCTCACAGGGGCTCAGTAGGAGTTCAGAGCCTGCTGGGAGCGGCGCCTCAGGTGCAGGCGCTGGTGGCGGAGGAGGTCACTGTTCTGCGAGAAACTTTTGACACAGTATCTGCACTGGAAAGGCAGAGCTCTGTCCTTCAGGTGCACAGTGCTACGGTGCCGGGCCAGGTGGTCGTGCCGCTGGAACACCTTCCCGCAGTCACAGCACCGGAACTGCAGCTTGTCCTTTCTGGGTTCCAGCCTGGCATCGGGAGACCCACCTTCGCTCCCTGAACCCCCTGGGTCTCTCATCTCCCCCAGCTCACATGTGTCCGGCTGCAGGTGCATTCGCCTGTGTGACAACAGATGGGCATTGAGGCGGAAGCTCTTTCCACAGGCACCACACCTATAGGGCTTCTGGGCCTCGTGGGTCTCCAGATGCCCATCCAGGTCCTCGCTGTCACTGAACAGCTCCCCGCACACCGAGCATGCATGCGGCTTCTCTCGCTCCCTGCGGCTCCGCAGATGCCGTATGAAGTTGACCCTCCAGCGGAAGATTTTGCCACAGTTGGGACACACGTAGGACTTCTTGGAGGTCTGTGCCTCACCCCCCTCGGCAGTGCTGCGGCGGGCCATGGAGACGCCATGCTGCCTCGTCCCGGGACCCTGAGACTCCTCCTTGCAGTACTGTTCGTGCTGGGACTCCTCTTCCCCGGAGCTGGACAGGACAATCTCAATGGTCACCTCCCCATCGAGGCCATTTTCTAGTGGGGACGGGTCAGTGCCGGCTATAGGAAAACAATGTGGAGGTCAGTGGTGCTACCAGGCCACACCCAGCCCCATGAGTCCTGCTGGGCAAGGGCCAGCTAGAGTCTGGAAATCCACATTTCTGCAGTATTCCTTCATAACTGGGCTGCCTAGCAACAGAGCTCAAATTGCATGAGAAAAAATTCTTGACACGGGCCCAGAGAACTCTGGGTACCTATTCCATCCCCACCCACAATGTTTCCCAACTCTCCTCACACCACAACCCCTGCTTTCTCTAGCTGAGATTCACCCCCACCCACAGGTTCTAGGAGCCTCTGTGTATCAACATAAAGCCTTGACATTTACACACCACTCATCACCGCCTCATTTAACCAGGCTTGGGACACTCTCTCAGCAGCCACTCAAGGAATCAGGAGAAAGTGACACTGACTCTGCCGCTGGGGTCCAGGGAGTCTGCCTACCTGCCATGAGCACTGAAGTGCTCCAGAGACAGCTGGACTTTGCCAGCCCCAGTCCCTCTGCTCCTAGGCACACCCGGTGATGTGTCATTGCTGTCACATGTAGACAAATGGAGGTAAACTGCTCAAGGGAGGAGGTCGCACCAGTAGCAGAGGTCACTGTCTGATGTCCTGCTGCCTCACAGTCCCCCAGGCACTCCTCAGTGTCATCATGTATGGGGTCCATCAACAGTGGACCTAGACCGAAGCTGGTTCAAAGGGGAACCACGTACAGGCAAGCCTGGCCTGAGACCCTGGCCTGCACCTAGAGCCAAACATCTAGATGACTGTGTCTCCTCACTTCTGTGAGACCTGAACTCAGGTCCACAACCACAGGTCATGCTACTGGGCCCTCCTAGACATTAATAGGAGTGTGGTCAGTCCAGTGAGGGTCCTGGCAGGCTAGAGAAGCTTGGGGCAGCAAGACCCAGAAGCTATAGCAAGTTGGAGATATGACAGGCAGCCCTGTGGCCAGTGTCTACCCATCAATCAGAAGACACAGAGGGAAGGTCAGGGAGACTATGAGCCCAGTGAGGGGCGCGCCTACAGAGAGCACAAGCTGGTAGGCTGCACCTAACACGGATTTTCCCTCCTACTTCCCTACTGTAGGGGCCTGGTTCCAGCCAGATGGCTTCCCTAGGCCTGTCACCTTATTTATGGAATGAGTATGATTGTGGTGGCCCTACAGCTTAAGTTGTGGGTGGGGTAAGTGAGGTCTGTGGATGATGGGTGCTTTGGTCTCAAGGGGCAGACAAGTGGAGGGTGTTAAATTCTATTGTCTGTCACTGACAAGACACTTGATCAGCAATTTACTTATGTTAACTATTACTAGACTTATGTGGAGGGAGAAAAAGAGTGTTCAGACCGTGTTTGTAGTTGGACAAGCCGATGGAACTTTGAGGACAGGCAGAGCTGGCCATGGGCTGTATTCACAGACGTTTCTCATGTGATTAAGATGTCATTAGGGTTGCTCTAATACAGTATGACATGCCCTTAAAGAAGAGGAGATCTGGATGTAGACGCAGACAGAAGGAAGAGCATGTGAGGACACGGAACAAAGGTGGCCAGTTATGGGCCAGAGGCCTCCGAAGAAACCAGCCCTCCAAAGAAACGACACCGTGATCTGACTTGTGGCCTCCAGAGCTGAGAGAACAGACTGCTCCAGCTGAGCACACTCAGTCTGGTTTTCGGTTTCTGTGTCCTGGTACACTAACAAAGAATGGCCAAGTTGTTCTCAGGTTTTGTGAAAAGTACAAAGTGTGGCTGATGCATGTGGGCACTTGGCTGAGGAGAATTCTAAGCAAAGTGCTGAAGGCAGAGCCCAGTCTCTCCTCACTGCTTACAGTAAAATCACAAGAGAGAGACTGCAGAAAGAACTGTTATACAGAAAAGAGCAAGGATTTCAAGAGTTAGAGAATTCTCAGCCTATCCATATTGCAAAAAACAAGAAAGTATGCTCTGGAGAGTGTGGCTGGATAACCATTTGCTAAAGAAATGACAGAGATAACTCATGGATCCAAGCAGCCATCTCAGGGAAAACCAGGAAAGATCAATGGAGGACAGTCTAGTCTTCTGGCTTAGACCCCCATGAACTGCATGAAGGACAAGTATTTTGTCAATTCTATACCATCTTGAACTGAAAGGACATAAAGGAGAGGAAACAAGCAAAAGCTAATGGACATTGGAGACCCTGTAGAACCGGCCAACAGAGCAATCTGGAGACCTTCAGGAAGGGCAGAGTGATCTGAAAGGTGACTCAGAGATGAGTCACTGCCTCTGCCATTATGGGCCAAGAGGCTCAAGAGGTTCAGGCCCTGGAGCTGGGGTCACCTCCTCCTGAGTTCCAAACAACAGGGCCATGATCTTGATAGACCCAGGGAACAGAGCACTGAGCCAAAGGGCACCATTCCTGAGCCTTACGACGTAATGGAATTACCCTGGTGGGTTCTAGACATGTGTGGGACTCATTACCTTTTTTTTTTTTTCTCAGATTGTTCCCTTTTGGAATGGAAGCATCTCTCCTATGCCTTTCTCACAATTACATTTCAGAATCGGAAAATATATCTGGTTTCAGAGGTTCACAGCTGGAGATAGATTTTTGTCTCAGGATGAACTGTGCTTCAAGTCTTACCCATGACTGACTGGAATGGTTTTTAGATGAGACTTTGGGGACTATTGGAATGGAGTGAGAGTGTTTTGCATGACCCCTAGCCCATCAGACCAGGACATATATTTTGAAGATGGAGAGGGTAGGACGTTCTGTGATAAATTGTGCCCTCCCCTAAATTTACATGTTGAAGTCCTAAACTTTAGTATCTCAGAATGGGACTTTTTTAGAGCGGGATTCTTTAAAGAAGTAATGAATTCATATGGGTGGACCTCATCCAACATAACGGGTGTCCGTAACGTGGGGATGAGGGCACTGGCAAATACAGGTGTCATAAGAAGAAGCAGACAGTGGCCATCTACAAACCAAGGAAAGAAGCTCCAAAAGAAACGAGTCCTCTTGGCACCTCGATCTGACCGGTAGCCTTCAGAATTGTGAGAAAATAAAAGTGCTGGTTAAGCACACAGATGATGGCACGGCAGTCACGCTGTACACATGACAACACTGCCTCGATCAGCCAGCACGACCACCATTAGGCCCGGTTTGCTAGCAAGGGAAATGAACCAGTGATAGTGCCATGTGCACCATCAACACAACGCGAAAAATCCTTGAAGACAGAAAGTAGATGAGATGAGACTGCTAGAAGTGTGTCCCAAACATCACAGAGGATGAGCAACACCATCAAGTTCTCAGCTCTGCACTGAGAAGGACAAAGGGTGTGCATGGTGGCAGAGTCACCTGAGTCCACCAACAGGGCTATGATGGGGAAGACAGAGAAGACTTCATGGCCTGTGTCAGTCAAAGGCATTGAGTCATTAAGTCCTCAATAGCAACTCTCCAAGAAAGCTGTAACTACTTACAGACAAAAATTTAAAGCAGAGAAATGAAGTTGCCTGAAGGTTCAGAATCCAGACCAATGGGTTCGAGCTGAGGGACCAGAGCCTGTGGCTCCGCAGCAAGCAAGTAGCCAGGTGCTCTGGGACGAGCTGAGGCCTGGGGAAGGGCGCTCTGTGGGCTGGGAATGAACAGTTTTCTGTAAGTCAGGGGGAAGGTGGAAGTATTGAGGAAAAAGGATGGGAAGATGAGAAGCTAGCTGTAAAAAACAAAACAAAACAAAACAAAAAAACAATAAAGGCATTATAAAATATAGGGATCCAGACTTGGAAGCATGTGCTAGTAGACACTGCAGCTCCAGAGACTGGGCTTGACCCCTAGCCCATCAGACCAGGCATGGGGGCACACACCTTTGGTTCAGCACCTGGGGAGGTAGGGAAGGGGATCATGACACAACGAGAACCTTGAACACTGAGACAGACTGAAAGAAATACTGAAATACTCTTATAGTGTCAGGGTAGAGAAGTTTTCTTAAGCAAGACATAAGGCAAAAGGAAGGTGATGGGCCAGCAGGTGGTGTGGTAGTTAAGGTACTGGACACCACATGGCCTATGATGTGGTTTGAATCCTGAACCCAGTGGCTTTAAAATCACACTGGGTGCATGTGCGTGCATGCCCGAAATCCTGAGAGGAGAATGGAGGGGAAAGAACTGCAGTGTGGCCATCCTCCCCATCGCGGGTGGGTGGGGGGTGCTGTCTCACTTTCCCTCTTTCTCTAGGGGGGATATATGCCTTATAGCAAATAACAATAACAAACAAAAAAAAGCAAACAAAGGCAAATAAATGCATTTACATTTAAAATATGAAAAAGTATTTATGTGCTACAAGACATAAAAAGTTTTAAAACTGAGAGAAACTATTTACAGAAGAGGCAATGAATTCACTCCTAAATTTCTTTCTGATTTTCAAGAAACAGCACACCGTGGCTGGCTCAGTGACAGGGAGTAGGTCCGGGTGAGCACTAGGGCCCCCAGATCTGCCACCTTGTACAATCCCCTTTGTGCACACATGATGGGGCAGGCTCACCGCACACCCTCCAGGGGCTAGGGAGAACCACGCATGTCTTGCCCTCAAAAGCATCACAGGGAAAAGTGTGAGCAGTTCCCACAGCAGCAGAACCACCATCGCACAGGTCAAAGGAGACACTCGGAGGATGTCGGAACCCTGAAGGTACTGAAGACAAAGCATTTTAGCTTTTACCTCTGGAGGTAGTACCTTTTACCAAGATGACTCAGAGTCCAAATTCCTGCCTTTTCCCCACAGGCAATAAGGCAGTGCATGCTCTCGAGGTCCCCTGAAGCTTCAGCATTCCAGAAACCTGCACTTTCAGTCCAAGGAATGTCTGCCCAGGAGTCTGGCCATGCACGCTCAGGGAGAAAAATACACTCACTTCTAGCCTGTTGGCTGGAGAGAGTCCCTAGCAAAAGGAGCCAGGTGGCAGCTGACAACATACCCCTCACATGTACTTCTGACAAAGCACTCACACACACACACACACACACACACACACACACACACGCATTCGTGCCACATGCCACACGTACCTATACTCTCTGCATGTGAGCACACACCCACATCCCAGCCCTTCCTTCACCTGGACAGGGGCTGTGGATCAGCGCCGTCTGCGGGCACCCCTGGGACTCTGGCACCTGCAGCTCATCCCGTTTCCTTCGCTCTTCCATCTGGGATGGCTGGAGACTTGGAAAGTCTTGAGAAGAAAATGGAAAAAATGATTTGCATTGCCTGGGCTACTGCGTGGGAGAGGTGACTCCACAGACACTAGGCTGTGCTCTGAGGGAAGCCCTGGACTCCTTCCTCAGCACGGCCCAGCTGCCATTCAGTCTGCTGAAGACAGAACAGACCAACACCAGGAATATGGGCTCTAATGCTGTACCGATCAGTGTAGACCCTGGCTGTCCTGTCTATCTCAGTGGCTAGAAAAAAGCTACCGCCCCATCCCTGCAGTCGTTTTCACTTTCTGTTGTGGGTTTTCTACAGATGCCACGGCAGGTCCTGCCCGGTCAGCAGACCATCCCCAGCACAGCCTGTGCAGTGCTCAAGCCACTGTGCCATGCTGGGAGTCTGTGCCAGGCAGGGGTCACCAACACCCAGTGTACTCTGTGCTAGGACCGGAAGGGGAGGGAGGTAAGGGGCTTCTGCACAAAGCTGTTTTCCTGGAATGAGCAGACTCTTCAAAGAACCACAGCAAAAGTTACCAACAGGAGTTCTGGGAACTCAGAAAGCTGAGGGAGATGAGAAACCACTGAGTCCCAGCACCACAGTGTCCCACAGGGGGGTGCCGTGCTCACTGCCCAGTGCGGGGGAGACACTCCTCTCCAACCCAGCCTCAAACCAGGAGGGCCACTGGACAGTCGGTATATGCTAGGGGCTGCTGGTAAGGAGAGGACAAAGAAATCCCTATTATTTCCCAGGCCCTGGCAGAGGAAATAAAATCCACATGTCTAGAGAAAGTAAGATTTCTCTTTCCGTGAGCAGTCCAGAACAACTCAAGGCATATAATTCAGAGTCTGGGAGAGCAGGGCTGCAGAGGGATGAGAGATCACCTTGGGGGTGCAGGAGAGGCCACCTCTGGCTGGCAGCAGCCACTCAGCCCATTCCATCCACCCAACTCTGCGACATTACTTACCCAAGTAGGAGACCTGGGGTACTTCTTTCCCCTGGAGGTTCTGCAAGTCTGGAAGCCGGGGCTCACCTTCCTCTCCCTGGGAGGGATCTGGCTGGGAAGTGGGGTCACCTGTTGGAGGGGAGTAGGTACAAGTTTATTGGTGAGCTGCTCCTGAGGCAGCCAGGGCAGCTGAAGTGTAACACTTGTTCAGGCACAGAAAGCAGAGGCAGAGGGATTCCCCGCAGGCCATGGCGTAGCTGGTGGCCAAGAAGAGCCATGAGACTGAGTGAGCAGGGAGGGGCCGTGGAGGAGGCACATGCTGGAGGGACGGCTAGGGGCCTGGGCATCTCGGGGTCAGGTGGTATAAAGTGAAGGGAAGTGACAGATGAGGAGGGAGAAAAAAACAAAACACAAAACATGCTATATTTCTGTGCGCCCATGTGCCAGGAGGGCTCGACTGATGTATGGTAAGATGACAAAGGTCAGTCCAAAAGGTGTCCCTGGAACCACGGTGCTCCTCGACCTTGTCAGGATTGGGGGTGAACGGAAAGATTTGCCAAGTCCCTAGTTCCCTGATCTTACAGGAAGAGGCTTGCTCTTACTCGAAGGCATTGAGACCCCGCAGTCCTCCCCAATGATGAACTCTCCATAGAAGCCAGTCTGGGCAGGGTCGAGAAGGGACCAGTCCTCTTCAGAGAAGCACAAGATCATGTCCTTGAATGGAGAGACCCGACTCTGAAACCACAGGAGAACACAAGGGCACCTCAGACCAGAATAAGCCAGGCATCTCAGTCACTCCAGCTGCTACAACTAAAGGCTGCAGACTGGGAGGCTAACAAAGGCAGGAGCTTGCTGCTCACAGTTCTGGAGGCTGGAGATCCATGATCAAGGCCCCGGCAGATGAGTGTCTGGGGAGGCCCTAATTCCTAGTTCACAGACATTTATAGTTTTGTTGTGTCCTCATATGGTGTACAGACAAGGGAGCTCTCTGGGGTCTCTTTGTAAAGGACCCTAATTCCCAACACAAGGGCTCTATCCTCACAAAGCCCTCATAATGACCTAATCTTCCAAAGGCTACACTTCCTAATAGTATCATCATGGGGACATAAAATGTGAATTATGGGGAGATACACATTAATACCCTTAAGCATATAAAACACACTTATTCCATCCCGATTGTCCCAAAAGTCTTAACTCATTCCAGCACCAGTTTGCAAGTCTAAAATCCAACATCTCAACTAAATATCCTAAAGCAGATATGGGTAATACTTAAGATACAATTCTAGGGACCAGCAGCGTAATGGCTATGTCGCTAAACTCCCATGTAGCCGACCGCAGTTCGAGTCCTGGACCCAGTGGCTTAAACTCACGCCAGGCGCATGTGCATGCGTGCCCAAGATCCCAAGAGGAGAATGGAGGAGAAGGGATTGCGGCATGGCCATCCCCCCTGGGGGGTGATTTCTTGCTTTCTGTCTCTCTCTGTCTTTCTGGCGAGTGCACGCGCCCCATAGCAAAAACCTCTCCAAAAAAAAAAAAGTATAATTCTACCTGAGTCAAACTGCTTTCCCGCTGTGAACCTGAGAGATGAAGCATGCTATATGCAATCACAGGACAGAAACAGGATAGAAATTTCCATTCCAAAATTAAATAATAAAAAGATAAAAAAAGAAAGGAGAAACGGGTCCTAGGCAAGTTTGAACCTCACAGGGCAAAGAGTAAACCTAAGTCTCAAGAACAATCCTTCCGTCTGGCACTCTGCCCTCTAGGTCCACAGGGTAGGGGTTCCACTTCCCAAAACCCACTGGCCCTGTGTCTTTACTGGGCAGGGTGGACCAAGGCTCTGAGTAGCCCTGCCCCATGGCCATGCTGTGTTTCCTACCCTCGAGGGTCCATTCTGTGGCAACTCACAGAAGAGAACACTAAGATGGCACATAAGCACACAAAAAGATATTTGGTATCATCAGCCATTATAAAAGATCATTTGTTTCTAGCTATTCTGACAGGTGTGCACCACAGTAATATAGCACCACACTTACCAGAATGGCTAAAATTCAAATAAATAAATTAAGTAATTAAATTAAACTAAATAAAAAACAGTGACAATCAAATGCTACAAAAAAGTGGAGAATGTGGGACCAGCAGGTGGCGTGGAGGTTAAGGTGTTGGACACTCCCACAAGGTTAACCACAGTTTGAGTCCTGGACCTGGTGACTTGATTTCTCACTTCCACCCTCCCCCCTGTGTCTCTCTCTGGTCAAATTAAAAAATAAATGAATGAATAAATAAAATTAAATAAATAATTCTTAAAGAAAAAAGGAAAGAAACTGAGAATGTAAATCGCTCACAGGGTGCTGGAGGGGAGGTAATGACACAGCTGCTCTGGAGATGGGTTGTGGCTCCTTATAGATGTAACTGTGTACTTACCACACCACCCAGCAATTGCTGATGGTGCATTTATCCCAAAGAAAGAAGAGTGATAACTGCACGAACACTTGTATACGACTTATACCAGGTTGGTCTTTTTGGAGAGGTTCTTGCTATAGGGCGCGTGCACTCACCAGAAATACAGAGAGGGACAGAGAGACAGAAAGCGAGAAATCACCCCCCAGGGGGATGGTCTATCCTCACAAAGCCCTCATAATGACCTAATCTTCCAAAGGCTACACTTCCTAATAGTATCATCATGGGGACATAAAATGTGAATTATGGGGAGATACACATTAATACCCTTAAGCATATAAAACACACTTATTCCATCCCGATTGTCCCAAAAGTCTTAACTCATTCCAGCACCAGTTTGCAAGTCTAAAATCCAACATCTCAACTAAATATCCTAAAGCAGATATGGGTAATACTTAAGATACAATTCTAGGGACCAGCAGCGTAATGGCTATGTCGCTAAACTCCCATGTAGCCGACCGCAGTTCGAGTCCTGGACCCAGTGGCTTAAACTCACGCCAGGCGCATGTGCATGCGTGCCCAAGATCCCAAGAGGAGAATGGAGGAGAAGGGATTGCGGCATGGCCATCCCCCCTGGGGGGTGATTTCTTGCTTTCTGTCTCTCTCTGTCTTTCTGGCGAGTGCACGCGCCCCATAGCAAAAACCTCTCCAAAAAAAAAAAAGTATAATTCTACCTGAGTCAAACTGCTTTCCCGCTGTGAACCTGAGAGATGAAGCATGCTATATGCAATCACAGGACAGAAACAGGATAGAAATTTCCATTCCAAAATTAAATAATAAAAAGATAAAAAAAGAAAGGAGAAACGGGTCCTAGGCAAGTTTGAACCTCACAGGGCAAAGAGTAAACCTAAGTCTCAAGAACAATCCTTCCGTCTGGCACTCTGCCCTCTAGGTCCACAGGGTAGGGGTTCCACTTCCCAAAACCCACTGGCCCTGTGTCTTTACTGGGCAGGGTGGACCAAGGCTCTGAGTAGCCCTGCCCCATGGCCATGCTGTGTTTCCTACCCTCGAGGGTCCATTCTGTGGCAACTCACAGAAGAGAACACTAAGATGGCACATAAGCACACAAAAAGATATTTGGTATCATCAGCCATTATAAAAGATCATTTGTTTCTAGCTATTCTGACAGGTGTGCACCACAGTAATATAGCACCACACTTACCAGAATGGCTAAAATTCAAATAAATAAATTAAGTAATTAAATTAAACTAAATAAAAAACAGTGACAATCAAATGCTACAAAAAAGTGGAGAATGTGGGACCAGCAGGTGGCGTGGAGGTTAAGGTGTTGGACACTCCCACAAGGTTAACCACAGTTTGAGTCCTGGACCTGGTGACTTGATTTCTCACTTCCACCCTCCCCCCTGTGTCTCTCTCTGGTCAAATTAAAAAATAAATGAATGAATAAATAAAATTAAATAAATAATTCTTAAAGAAAAAAGGAAAGAAACTGAGAATGTAAATCGCTCACAGGGTGCTGGAGGGGAGGTAATGACACAGCTGCTCTGGAGATGGGTTGTGGCTCCTTATAGATGTAACTGTGTACTTACCACACCACCCAGCAATTGCTGATGGTGCATTTATCCCAAAGAAAGAAGAGTGATAACTGCACGAACACTTGTATACGACTTATACCAGGTTGGTCTTTTTGGAGAGGTTCTTGCTATAGGGCGCGTGCACTCACCAGAAATACAGAGAGGGACAGAGAGACAGAAAGCGAGAAATCACCCCCCAGGGGGATGGCCACGCTGCTATCCCTTCTCCTCCATTCTCTTCTCGTGATCTTGGGCACGCACGCACACGTGCTCAGAGTGAGTTTAAGCCACTGGGTCCAAGACTCAAACTGTAGTTGACTACATGAGAGTCCAGCAACATAGCCATTACACCAACTGCTGGTCCCCCCCTTATAGCAGCTTTTTATCATCATGGCTGAAACCTGACACTCCAGTTGTCCTTCAGTAAGTTGAGTGATTAAGTAAACCATGGTGCTTCCATGCCCTGAAATACTACCTATAGAGGAAAAGAAATGGACATTTTATTATTTATTTTATTCATCATAGGCAGTGTGTGGAAGAGACAGAAAAAGAGAGAGAGAGAAAACACCCCAACAGGGGGACATGAAAGAGAGAGAAAGAAAGAACACCCTCAACGGGGCAATGGTCAGGGTTCAATCCTTCTTCCTCCATTTCTTCTTCCTGTCAGGATTCTAGGCATGTACACACATGTACCTGGCATGTGTTTCAAGCCACTGGGGCCAAGATTCAAACCACCATTGGTCAAGTGGTATCCAGCTTCCAAGGCATAGCACTTATCAGTGTGCTACAGGGCGTCCTGTATAGCACTGCTGAAATGAAATGACCACCTCGTAGAAATGAAGCACAGATTAGTGGTTTGAGAAAATGGATGAGACAGTAGGGTGGCTCTAAAAGGCACAGAAGGAGCCCTTGTGGTAAAGAGAGCACTTCAGACTTTACGTATCAAAGTCATTACCCTCAGGTGACAACTGGATTTTTACAAGACAGATTTTCACTGTATAGTCCACTACTGAATATAACAACTTGAAGAGATCACCTTGTGTTATTTCTTACAAGAGTATGTAAATCTACAATTATCAAAAAGTAAAAAGGTTAGGGACCAGCAGTTAGTGTAATGGCTATGTCGCTGGACTCCCATGTAGATGACCGCAGTTCACGTCCCAGTCCCGGTGGCTTAAAACTCATGCCAGGTGTGTGTGCGTGCGTGCCCAAGATCCCGAGAGAAGGATGGAGGAGAAGGGATTGCGGCGTTGCCAACCCCCTGGGGGGTGATTTCTCGCTTTCTGTCTCTCTGTCTGTCTGGTGAGTGCACGCACCCTATAGCAAAAAATAAAAAACTCCAAAAAAAAAAGTAAAAAGGTTAATAAAAAAACAAGTTTTATGTGCACCTCTGTTCATAGCAGCATTATTCAAAATAGCCAAACTATGGAAATAACCCAAATGCCTACTTACAAGTATATGGATAAACAAACAAAATATACATATATGCAGACATGCAACATATACATACATGCATGCGCACATACAATGGAATATTACTCAGCCTTAAAAAGGGAAAAAATTCTGACACAAACTACCACGTAGATGAACCTTGAAGACATTATGCTAGTGAAGTAAGTCACTCACAAAATGACCAATGTTGCATTATTCCACCTATATGATGTACCAATGGAGTTGATTTCTAGAGGCTGCAAGTAGAATAGGGTCTTCAGGGGTTGGGAAACTTAAATTATTGTTTAATGGGTAAAGAATTTCAGTTTAAGACGATAACAAAGTTCTAGAGAGCAAGCGTACAAGAATATGAGTATACTTAACACCCTTGACCTAGATAATTACAAATGATTAAGATGGAAAGTTTTATGTTATGCATATGTGACCACATGACTAAAAATAAAAAAATAAATAAAAGATCTTCGGGACCAGCAGTTGGCATAATGGCTATGTCACTGGACTCCCATGTAGTCGACTGCAGTTCAAGTCCCAGACTCGAACTTAAGTCCAGTGGCTTAAACTCATGCCGGGCGCGTGTGCATGCATGCCCAGGATCCCGAGAAGAGAAGGAATTGCGGTGTGGCCATCTCCCCGGGGGGTGATTTCTTGCTTTCTTTCTCTCTGGCTTTCTGGCAAGTGCATGCTCCCCATAGCAAAAAACCTCTCCAATAAATAAATAGAAGACCTTATAAAGACCTTCATGACGGTGATTTTTAGTGTACTGGGCAGAAACAGTCTTCAACAGAGTAATGAAACCAAAATCTACATACTGCACTCACTGCAGCATTTGCTGGGTACTTGGAGGAGTTGCAGACGAACAGCAAACCTTCATTCGTACTGAATTCACAGTATCCCCGTGTGTGCTAGACTGGTTAAAGATACCAGTTTTTAATAAGACATGTGCATTGTGTGGGTGTGACCACCGTGCATGGTACATATCAGACACTGACACACGTGTGCTGGACAGCAGGGTGTGCCAGTGTCAGCAGGGCAGAGGCAGAATGGGGGAGGCCTGACGGACTTCCTCCCTTCCCCAGCCTTCTCCACTCCAGACTTAAAGTCATGTCAAATAACCATGCGGAAAGAGAACTGCTCATCTTCCTGCATTCTGGTAAGTGTTAGTAAGTCCACTGCTCTTCCACAGTCGTCCACGGGCATGGAAACAGGTAGACACAGCAGCACACACCGCCATGGACACTCTCACAGGGAAGATGGTGCCGTGTAATGAAACACCCTGCTGGCCAGCAGAAAGAGTTAGGAGGGAACCATGGGTGGCTGCAGCCTCTGGGCAGGCATGAGAGATAGAGACAGAGATAGAGATAGAGATAGAGATAGATAGAGAGAGAGAGAGAGAGAGAGAGCCCTGCATGGCAGCTCCCGCCCTCCCTGAATGCTGGAGCCAGGGAGCATGTACAATGACACAAACAGGGACGATGCCTAGGAGGGTCCCTAACCTATATATCCCACTGGGCTATGACAGTCGGAATCATCCACTCCCTCCCCCTGCTGCCTGTGTCCCTGAAATATGGTTATTGCTATGAGGGTGGCTGAAACCACACCCTGTGAATAAAAGGGCAAAATCTCTCTTTTCATAGGAGGAGATCCTGGAGGTGCTGAGAGGCCAATCGGTGAGCCTCAACCCAGGGTGGGTGAGGGACAGGCACCTGGTAGGCTCACATCCTCCCACATGGTTGCTCTGAAGTGCTCTGCCTGGCAGGGGCTGGCTCAGGTCCTGGGAAAGTTACTCAGGAGCTTACAGAGAGGAAATGAGATTTTCAAGAATTCCTGTGGAAAGCACTCACCGGGGGCAGCTGGAAGGCAGCCACGTGCTGTGCATCCCTCTCACTCTCTTCTTGAAGAAGGGCAGTATCTTGAGGAACTGAAAGAAACCAAAAAGTGTGTCTCCAAGAGGCTAGGCCTGGCTCTGAGACCTCCTGAACTCCTCGGGTCTCTTCACTTCAGTTTATGCAAGCAAAGAAAATCCCAAGAGAGCAGGAATCTATCCCAACTTTAAAAAGAATGAGCTTCTGTCATTCAAGATAACATGCATAAATGTGGAGGACACACTATGCTAAACAAAATAAACCAGGCACGGAAAGGCAGGTTTTACTTAACCTCTTATATATGGAATCTAAAAACAGTAAGCTTGCAGAAACAGAGGGTGACAGTTACCAGAGGCTGGGGTGGGGGGCTGGGCAGCTACTGGGCAGGACGTGAGTTTCAGTCAGCGAGGAGCAAGGGACTCAGGAGTGCCACTGCGTAAGAGGTGACCGTGGCAGTAACAGCGCAGCGCATGCTGGAGAGCTGCTGATGGGGGCGACGCTTGGGGTTTTTACTACAAAAGGCAAATGTGTGAAGTAACACATGCTGAGTAGCTCGACCTGATAATTTAATAATGTGTGTGTGTATATGTGTGTGTACACATCAGACTATCAGATGACATACCACAAATACATACAATTTTCGTCAATTAAAAACAAAGAAAGACAGCTATCACTAGTGGGCACTCCTCAAAGAGCATCTGCATAATTCCCCAAGCACCATCTTTTGAAAGTGTAGAGGGTGAATCTGCCATCGGGCCCTTCCTCATTGTGGCCGGCTGGGCCTCTGCTCTGTTCTCCATTTCTCCCTTCTGAGGGGTGAGTGTGATTCCTCAGTGTCCACAGGCAATGAGTCACACACCTGCACACTGGGGCAGCCCCGGGAAAACGTGCTGTTTCCAAAGTGCTCCTGTGACGGAGTTAAAACTTTGAACACTGGGCTACAGCCTTAGGGTTAGGTAAAAATCCCTGAGGTTAACCTCACATGTTAAGTCAAATTCCAGAGGCTAGTCTCTGCCCTTTCAACCCTGGGATGCAAGCTCGGGAAACAGTGGCTGCAGGAACAGCTACTTGGAGCAAAGGACAGGGACAGGAAGCACTGAGGCTCCAGGGGTCCCAGAGTCGGCACCCTCTTGGCTGTGCTGATGGTGAAGCTCATGCTGTGTGGACATGGGTTTGAAGAGGTACTTGTGTGTGTGTGTGTGTTTAATTTTAAAATTTATTTTTCTATCCTTTTAATTTTACTTCTACCCCCAGGTTTATCAAGGTGTAACTGTCAAACAGAAATTGCATAATTTTGCATACAAAACTTGTGTACAATGTGATGTCATATGTAGAAATCATGAGGTGATTAAATCAGTTAAGTTACCATTCACATCATATTTTGATAAGAATATTTTATATCTACTCTCAGTAACCATCAAACACACAATGCATTATTTTAAACTATAATCCCCATATTATACTATAGAATGGCAGAATGTATCTGCCCTGCCTGGAACTGCACCTTGACCAGCAGTTCAAGGGGGTATTTTATTCTGCTCCCTCCCACCTGCAACCTCTGGGGGATGGACCCTCCCCCACCCCATCCCTTCACAGAGAAAAATAAAGCATACCTTGGAGAATTACTTCAGAAAGCTTCAGCCTCTACACAAGATCCAACTCTTTGGGAATATCATTAAGATTAGGAGTTACATAGCTGCCTTGTAGCTCATTCCAGTCACAAGTCTCCCTATTATGGTTTCCTGATGCTTAACACTCCTCACGTCTATTTTGTCTGTTGATTATTGCTTGTGGGAATGGAAGAGCTGGCCCCGGCCACCTAAAGCCCATCCATGGCTGCTAATTTACCTCAGAACTTCACCAAGAAGCATGTGCACAGGCTGCTGTGGTTTCCAAAGCAGCCCTCTCCACCAGGACCGCGCCCCACCCCATGACAGGGCCTCTCCACACCCACCTCCTGCACAGTCCAGGAGCACGAGGTCTACTCATGCCTACTGCTAGAGCTGAACTGTGTCCCCCCAAATTCACACAGCCAAAGTCCCAACTCAGGTGCCCCAGAACGTGGCTGTCTTTGGAGATGGGGGGTCTTTAAGGTAGTTAAATGATGATAAAGCCTTCATGGTGGGCCCCTATCCAATATGACTAGAGTCCTTATAAAATAGTTTCAGACAGGAAGATACTTACTGGCTGTTTTTTAATTAAAAAGTTTATAATAATGCCAAGCACAGCTTCTGTAACTCACCAAAATGCACTCCTGGCCTCCCGGTTTGCTTCCTCCACTGAGACGATGGAGCGTGTGACAAGCTCCCTCAGGCTAACCCACACCACAACCTCCCAGGGCAAGTGGTAAAGTTATGAGTGGCTCAGGCCTTGTGCTTAGCGTTTTAAGGGTTGTATCTTATTTAATCCTCAAAACCCCAAAAGCATAATTTCTACTTCTACTGGACAGAGGGAGTCAGATTGGGTGGTTTGAGCGCATGCCCTGGTCCTATCTGGGAGACTCAGTCAAGCAAGTCTGGTGGCCAGTCTACTTGGCAGTGCAGTTTCCATTCCACATCTAGCTAACCTGCACGCCCCATGTGCTCAGACCTCCCCATGCCCTCCAAAGCATTTCTGCAGCTCCTTGCAGTACCACGACCCCATGAGCAGGAGCTGCTGGCCCAGGGAAACAGGTTCTGAGAGACAAGGGGATGGGTGTGCTTGGTTCCCCGTGGGCCCTGCTCGTACAGTGGCTGGCCCTGCCTGTCCCCAAATGGACAAAGCCCAGAGATGCACCCTCAGAGATGAGAGGTCACAGCCTTGGAGACACCTACCTACAGAAGAGTTCCCTCTGAGAGGACTTGGCACTGTGAAGGGGACAGACAGTCTCATGACATTTTATTCAATCACTTTAAAGAATGATCCTGACCCTAAAATAATAGCTCACAGCTCCTCAGAGAACAGGAGAAAGCTGCCAATGCCAAGTCCACTACCATAACAAAAATCACACCGAGGGCAGGATAAGTGTGCACCCCAGATCACCCTCCCACACTCCAGGGGCTGCATACCTGGGTCTCCGCCAAACTGGCCTGTTCTGCTTGGGAGCCCCAGGCCCAGGTCCACGGACGAGGCATCCTCACTCTTTGCAAGGTCAGTTTGTGGTTCTGCTGGCTGCTGCTCCTGCTCCTGGTCTGGAGGGCTGTCCCCATCATCAATCACCACAGGGTCTTCACAGTGTTTGAGCTATAACACAGAGAGACCTTTACAGGTCTAGGAGGGGAGGTCAGGCAAATGGGCAGACCTCTGTGTCCCCACGCCTGCTGGCCGTCAACTCCATAGCTGACCACCAAACACTCAACTGGCCTTGGACAGGGTCATGGGGATGACCCAAGCATGCCCAAATTAGAGCCAGGAGGGAGTGAAATCTGCTCCTGAGGTAATCAAACTGGCTGGGACCTAACCTAAGACAGGGTTCCTGCCCTGTGGTTTCTGAAGCTCCCTTTCCCTACCACACTCCAAGGCCTCTCCATGCCCTTCCTCCTGCACCACCTGGCAGCTCACACAGGCAACATGACCAGCCCAGGCATGAATGCAGGGCTCCCAAGCTCCCTCCCTGCCCCAGCCCTGTCCCCTCGCTCACCCATTGCCAGGGTCTCCCAGGCTCCCGTTCCAGCGCCTCCACCGCAGCCACGGCCTGTTCTCCGCTCTCAGGCTCCTGTGCCCGCACCCAGCTCTGGATCTCCCAGGGCAAGATGGCCAGGAACTGCTCTACTACCAGCAGCTCCAGGATCTGCTCCTTGGTGTGCCTCTCTGGCCGCAGCCAGCCCCGGCACAAGGCCCAGAGGCGGTGCAGGGCCTCCCGAGGGCCTGCTGCCTCTTGGTAGCGGAACCGCCGGAAGAGGCGGCGGGAGGACTCAGGGCTGGGAAGTTCCCCCTGGGGACAGGGGTTCTCTCCAGGTGGGCTCCTCATTTTCCGAGGCTCCTCGCTTTCCTTCGGAGCCAAGACACGGGGGCACAGGGCTGTAGGCATGTTGGTATTTGATGGGGTCAGCAGGAGAGGATGACCCTGTTTCCAAACAGAAATTGCTGGCTTCAGTATGCTATTCTGTGAGTGCCTCTGGAGGGTGGTGACGAGAGAATGACCATGCCCATGGAGACCTTGGGAGTTGGTGGCTATTCCTCACATGTGGAGACAAAGAGACCTCTCCTGCTCAGCATCATTGTGTGTGACTCCCTTAATGAGAGCTGAGGCGAATAAGGTCAGAAATCTAGGACAGTGGTGGCACTGAGCATCCCAGGAAGTCATGGGCCCAACCTCCACATGCAGGAGTGCCTTAACAAGACTCCAGCACCTTCAGTGGCTAGGTCCTGGTGAGAACCAGGGATGGAAGTGACCACCAGCCACTATCTTGAAGCTTCAAAGTCAGTCACCATTCTTGTTCTTAAGACCTTCACGCACTGGGCTGAAAAGACAGACACACACAGGGAGAGCCTTCCCAGCACACCCAGGAGCAAACCAGCCACACCTATGGCTGGACGGGCAATAGGCCCTACCAGCTGCCCCGCAACCCAGGAAAGACAGGGGGGCGGGGGGAAGTCACAGAGGCAGCAGCTAGAGAGAAGCAGCAGTGCTTTCAAGGAGTAGCGCAGATTCACCCAGAAGAGCCTTCTTCTCTTCTTTTTTGGAGAGGTTTTTGCTGTAGGGTGCGTGCACTCACCAGAAAGACAGAGAGAGACAGAGAGACAGAATGCGAGAAATCACCCCTGGGAGGGGGCGATGGCCACGCCGCAATCCCTTCTCCTCCATTCTCCTCCCGGGATCCTGGGCACGCACGCACACGTGCCCGGCGTGAGTTTAAGCCACAGGTCCAGTGACACAGCCATTATGCCATCTGCTGTTCCCCAGGAGAACCCCTACAATCATACTCATCACCTGACCTTCAACCTTGTCTCCACCCCCTTCTCTCCCACTCAAGGGACTGGCAAACCCCTCTCAGGGTTCACTCACCAGGTAAGAGGACAGCACTCAGATAACACTCACAGGGCAGCTTTCAGCCCTGTGGGGCCCCTGGACACCACATCCACCTCGTCCCCATGGGGAGTGGCAGAAGAGTCCCTAACCAGGCCGTGGCATGGCCAACCCAGCCAACACGGAGGGTGAAAGAAGACCAGCACTACGCCAAGTGACTGTGTTCACTGATGCACACTTTGGGACACACAGAGAGAGGACCACCGATCCAGACACATGCAGGTCTCCGGGATCCTAAATATGCAACTGGCCCTCCCCACGTGTATTCACTCGAGACTCTCCAGCCTGGTAGCACCTTAACTCCCAGCAGCGCACGAGGAGGGAGGTCCACCGGCCTTATTCCCATTCGGAAGAAGAGACAAGTGACGCCCAAAAAGCAATCGAGAGGTATCAGAAAAATCTCTCTCTGGACCGCTTTGCTTTCCAGAGTGCAGAAATACAGACACACGTAAGGGGACTCTGGCGCGTCATGGATCTTCCCGCCAACGGCAGCTCTTCTCTGGCGGCTCCTGCACCTGGAACCCAAGCGCCGGACCCTTGGCACCCGGTTCCTGCGGTAGGCGGCCCACTCGCACCCTCCCTAACCACACAGCCGCGTTCCTCTTTGTCGCCCTGGCACCTGGCACGAGGGCTCAGGACAGATGCTGGTGAATGAAGCGGGGAGGCTAGGCAGGGGGGCGCCGCGAGCCCGCAGGGGCTGCACCCGCGGGGGGGG